GGGGAGGGAAGGGAAGGAGAAGAAAGATTTAATAAGTATAAACTGGGCTTCTTGCTTTACATTACCTGAGTCCAACAATCTGCCCCAGCACCAACCCCAGGGCTGTAAACGATGCAGAGGTCAAGGCCACAGCTCCTCTGAGCTTCTTTGGGGCACTTTCTGCCAGATACATGGGCTGAATATTCATGCTTACACCTGGGCAAGGCAGACAAATGCTGACCTCAGTTTGCAGACAGAGGAGACGAGGACAAATGCAGTCAGTCACCTCTTGAGGTTGTCAGCTGGACTCTTCTGTTGCAGGCCATGTGGTGTCTGATCTACCAGTGCTTATTATTCACCCAAACCTTCAATTTCACTCTTATTCATTGCATAAGCTACTAAACTACATTTCCATACTTAAAAGTAGTAGTGGATAATGGAACTGTAACCTGCCAGGGCCTCAGTCCTATGGTCTTTTCAGCACCAAATCCAAGGTTATAAGTGATACTTCCCTCTAGTCCCTCATTTTGGGGGGAAAATCATATTTTAAACCACTTGTATCAATCATTATTTCCTTGGATGAACGTCTATAAAAGCTTTAATGTTGGTGCTCATGCTTAGTGACTGATAACATGCATACAAGCAAATAGGGACCGATTTTCAGCTCAATTTCTCCCAGGGCTCCCCTCCCTGTGTGCAGAGTGCACACAGATACTCACATGTGTGTTACACAAAAAAACCCTGCCTGTGTATGCTTTTTTTTAAAAAAAAAAAGTCCTTAGAAGCAAAATATAAAATCTGTATATACAAATTCCTCATTCATATACATGTGTATGGTCAGACTAGAGGATTAATTGCTTTAATGTCTTGGATCATTCCTATTTAACTATCTTCTTTTTCTAATTGATACTTGTTATCATGTTTGTCCTGTTACGTTTCTCATGTTGCCATACCTGCATTCACACCAGTAAAAAATCTGCTGAGCATAATCATTTCAAAAGATCTTGCCATTCGGCTGAATCCTGACAAGACTGCAGCTATGATTACAAAGACATTGTTCAGCAGCAGGGACATCTTCCTTCAGAGAGAAAAACATGTGTGTTAGGTTTAGTCATCAAACATTTCACAGCCAGATCCAACCTGTCGTGTCTGGAAGTTCAGCTCCACCACAGAAAATCCTGGTTACCCAAAGCCCTACGTGAGGTGTCTGTGTGTAGATGGCAGATAAGCAGTTTTGGTGTCTTGTTATAAAAATGGGGACAGGCACTGACAGGTGATCTGCACGGCGGATACAATTAGGGCCTCTCCAGGTACCAGCACGACCACAGGGTGCCCCTGCAGCGCTGGCTCTGGACGCACTGAAGGCACTATGAGGTCCCCACCCAGATTCATGGCTCTTGTGCTCACAGTTTCCCATTTGAACGGAGAGGAGGATTCTTTCAGTAACTGCGTTTTGGTCTGAAAATGCTGATTTGTTGAAACAGGCATTTTTCATGTAATAGTACGATCCTTATGAAACTTTTGTCAGAAAGTTTTCATGTGCCCCAGGAGGAATTTCTGTCCAAAACCAGGAAAAAAAAAGAGAGCTCTATTGACCCATAACAGACCCATAACAGCCAGTAATTCTCTCTAGTCCCAACTCACTGCCCTATCTGCTCTTCAGAAGACAGTCTTTTTTTTTTTTTTTTTTTTTTTTTTCTAACAATGATAGAATATGATTTTATTCCAAAGCAGTACGAGATGAAATCTCTAAACTTAGTTTATGCTAGTAACACTGTTTTTTTCTGAAAATAACTGGGGATACAGCTGTGTATGAAAGATGGGTGAGGGGAGAGACATATTTTTCAGAGACTTGAGCACAGGGAAAAAAACAAACAGTGAAGATTTAGCCAACACCTCCTGAATTATTTCAGTCAAAAGAGTGGATACAGAGCCTGTGAGACATGATGACCTGGGATGCAACAACTGCTCTTTGCAAGCACCCTCTGTTTTTCCAGTGTCATTTCTACCAATTCTCACAGTTCATTCTGAAGAAAAATCCTTGGTCTGTTCTGTCATTATTTCCTATTTAAAAGGATGGCAGAAAACTGGGCACAAAAATGATGGTGATTATGTAGTTGGTTATTGTGACACAGAGTTGAGCTGAAAACTTTGTAGCACTTCAGCTGGGTCAGAATATGATGAGGAGGTAATGTGGGAAAAAGAACTGTTCCCAGTTGGGTTTTGAGACATGAACTACTGCCACAACAGGTAGTTTCTCCCTGCCAGCTCCAAATGCTAAAGGCAGACTGATCTGTGATTCTAAACATGTTTTCATTAACTACAGTGGGTATTGTGCTGTAGGGCTCATCATTCCTCTTGGACTAATGGAAGCTGCAAAGCCTAAATTAAAATCCATCACCCTCTTACCTTCCCAGCATGATGGCCATGGGACCAGCAACAACAGCCCCAGTGAGTCCACCCAGAGGGTACGCAGAGACAGTGAAAGACCACAGCAGCAGGATCATGTTGCTTTCAAGGGGCACACCTGTGCGCTCCAACCAGGTTTCATTCATGAACATCTGGATGTACTGAAAGGGAAGGACAGTCCTGCATAACCATGATGTAGAGGTGAAGGACGCTGAGAAATGTCAAGGCTTCCTTATTAATACACCTGTTTATTCTGTGTTGATGTCTCCAAACCCTTGGCTGAAAATGGCCTCCACTTCTTAGATGTGTTTTTAACAGAGGGTTAAGAGTGTAAAACTGTAGCTTTTGAAAAGTTGCACTTGGTTTGTACCAGTATGTAGCTGTCTTGGATAATTTAAAAATGTATTTCATGGGTCCAACTTTGAATTTAAAGGCAAAAGTCAAAAAAGAGGTTGCAGGTTGGAAAATTTTAGAATTAGATTTGCTAAAGCAGTTAAAACAGAACTTTTGAATGAATACATGTGACACTAGGTCCTGCTCAGGGGTGGCTCTTGACAACAAAGTCCTGTCACTCAGATGTGAATTATCCAGAGAGAACAACATCTTCTTCCCTTCTCGCCCTCACTATTAACAGACTGCATATTTTCAGTGGCAGGCCAGTTTGTAGCCAGACTGAGGACACTAAGGAAGGGTCTGTCTCAGGAGGAGGCTCTCAGACTAGCAGTACTTACTGAAGTTGGAGCATTGATGATAGAGATGTTGTAACCATATTGGAAAGTGCCTCCAATCCCAGCAGCACATATTGTCAGGATCAAGATCTTGCTCTGAAGCTGAAGAAGATGGATAGAAAATGGATGGCTTCCTTGCACAGAATAAAATGGCTCACATTTGTCCCATTCATGCTTTGAGTGGTGTGAAGTGAAGATTAGAAGAGGCTATGAATGTTGTAATAAAATGGGAGGTCCCAAAGATAGAACACCCACCTCCCCAGTTTTAAAACTATTTCCCTCTACTGCAGAATGGTATTAATAATTCATTGACATTCACTAAAAATTTGGAACTGCTTTGGGGAAAAGGCCTGCAAGTGTCTTTGGTTTAATATTTAATGTGCATGCTTACAAAAAGTCAGAGCAAAACCAGTAAACACTGGTAGAGACTGGTATTATAGCTTCAATTAATTCAATTCATTACAAAAATATGTACTCACATGATGAATTATTCAAGAAACATTGCCAATGTTTAATGACTTCTGCCTCATTTCTAGCTAAGCTCTGTAGGATGGAGCTTCTCTGTGGTATGGGGGATTTTCTCATGGCCATTTATATCCAGTAGATTTCTGATTCATTGGCATGCTATTTCTTCTAGTTTTTCATGGTAATGACACTTACTTTAGTTCAAAATAGAGTCCCTTTCCTATGCTACTTCACATGTTATACAGAGCAGAAAATACCTCTTTGCTGAACCTTCTCATTACACAGTTGTTCCCACATGTTCTTGTGTTTAGCAGTCTGTAATTGTGTATTCATCCAGAATATGCTCTACACCCTCAGTATTACGATATACATTAAATATGTGGCAGACAGTGAGTCCTATGCCATGTTCTGGTCTCTGAGGTAATTTCTTTGTCAGTATTGCCCATTGCTTATATTGCTGTCCAACACCACTGCTGTTTCTTCAGAATCATGGGCAGATGAATGGGGCTGCTTCATACAGCATCATGGGATCAGGGTGTTGGTATAAAGGTCTCTTGACTTTTTGAAGGGTGTAGAACAAGCTGTCTTGGCTGACACAGTATGGCAACTGAGAGCTCACTGGCAGGCTTGCAAGCACAAAACATGCATATTTTCCCCTTGCAGTAGGATGCCCTGAATGTTACAGTACGAGTGTCCCATATCAGAACAACACTGGGGCTAACTGTGGAGAAACAGAGACACTCTATAGAAGCTTTCTAAACAGTTTTGTTGATCATTCCTCCTCTGTCATGTTTGTAAGCCTCATGTCATTCTTGCCACTCTTGTCTGGAAGCTTTCCTGTGTGACTGCTTTCAAACTGACCCGCAGCTTCTGTAGAGGAGCACAGCTGAGTGTCAGCAGCATCATGTCTCCATGTTCATCTCAGAATCACTGAACATCCCTTCCTCATTGCAGCCACCCCACCCCGTTGTTTGGTCTCTCTCTGTGTCACCCCTCCATCCTTTTCAACCTATTTTGTACCTGTGCCTTTGGTTTCCCCACCTGTATGTGAGATCCTGTGACTGGCAAGCCATGCCCTGATGGTGTTCTTGGACTGGGAACACTGTCCCATGTCTCAAGACCACTCTGAGCTTGCTGGAGGCTCCTGGCCTTTAGCCTGACACCTCCTGCACAAGGTTCTGTGTGGCCCAGGGCCAGGTTGGCCTTTGCCAGAGTGGGACAGCTCTGTGAGTGACGCGAAGAGCCCATGCTCAGGCTTGGCTGTTTGCCAGTTAGTGCAGGGCACCTCAGGATAGATTGTGTTTTGCTACATGAATATGACCCCCTTGACCCTGAGAACAACTTAGATAACCCAGAGCTGGGAAGCTTTTTCTCTCTACCTGTTCTTACAGAGACATCTACTAAAGAAAAAAAAAGTTTTTCCTAGTCTTGCAATAGCTTTAAAATCACAAATTCAAATAATTAGATTTTTCCATTCCTGAAAGCCTTTTCTTGTAAATAACTTCCATATCAGCCTGAGACAGGATGTTCTCTCAGGAGAGAAATTAAGCCAGACTGTTCCAACCCTGTGGCAAGAAGAGACCGAGCTCTCTTCAGTTAGAAGCAGGTATGTTTTGCTTACACTTTCCTTGGCTACACCACTTTCCTGTCTTGTTACTGAGACGTGAGCTAAGGATTGTGCACCTGAGATCCCTGCTCTTCCCAGTTATTTTAGTTCTCCAAGTGAGAGAGATTTTGTCTCCCTACAATAGCACATTTCTTTTTTAATCACAATGCCTAGGAATGTAACACTCCTGCTCATTTTCCTGCTTTCATTATAGAGTACATCCCCTACCAGGTCCCGTATCACAGAGCTCTTTTGTGGCCATGAGCTAAAGGAAAATGGTTTGCTTCTCCCTTCAGGAGACACCAAACAGGTCTGTGATCAGAGCTGAGTTGTATTTACAGGGTGACCTTCCCAAACCTTCCTTAACACCCGGCTTCTGCACTACTGTCCCAGCCACAGTGGTGATGTGCAGCTGCCAGGAGAGCCATTAGTGCTCAGTTTTATCCCAAGAACTGTGAGGAGTTGGACATGATAGTACTTACACACTAGAACATGATAGTACTTACACAGCCTTATAAAAATGCAAATTAAAAAAAATGATCTATCAACAATAATAGTAAAATAGATGGTTTTTACCAGTCTCTGCAGCTTGTTCATCCTCTTTGGTAGGTTTTCTTCTGTCTGCTAAAGCCTCTGGTACTCTCAGAAATTCTCTAAAGGATTATTTAAATCTCCAGCATAGGAATGTGTATTTGGTCACCCATTACATTAGGATAAGACACTTGACTTGGCAGGTGTTTTGCCAGCTGATTTACATTCTCAAAATGGGGCTGCATGTTCATTAGCAAGACAGTTCAATTAATTTTGTTGAAAGTAGATGACAGGCTGGGAAATGAATCTGCAGGATTCAGAGCTGTCTAAATCCTCTTGAAGGCCAGTATGGTTTACAGCATAAATTCCCTCTCAAAGCGTCTGGCACAGTTGCTCAGTAGTGCTTGTCTGATTAAGTGTGATCAAAGCAGGAGTAAACTACAGATTTTTTTCTGACTGTATTTGTCCTGGAACCCAATCTAAGATCTGAAAGACATACCAGACTATTTCCCTTGGTGCTGTCAGTGACAGGAATGAACAAACCCCAGAACTTTCAAATCCCTCTTTATGCCAAGCCCTTTCACTGTACTCCTGTCTAGATTCCTGGTGATGTACAGGCAATCCAGCTGTTGCTGACAAGGGACTGATGCACAGAAGGCAGCAATCCTGTTCCCTCTCCACAGCCTGGCATCGAGCAAACAGCAACACTTACAGCACTCAATTTTTTCATCAAATGATCACCTCTGGCTTTTGTTTCACAGGATCCAGAGAGCTTTGGTTTTACATATGCCATGTGACTTTTTTGTGTCTAAAATGCATAATACATGATTTGTATTACATTATATGCTATATTAAAGTGCATATTACATAATATGTAATATAGCTACCTAATATATAGCATTGCAGGTAAAGGTGGTGCTGAGGTGGGCATGAGAAAGCAGGCTGCTGGGGGAAGAATCACTATCTGATCAAAATGTTCTCAGCTCCCTGTGAGTTGTCACCCTGTCGCACAGCATTATCCTGCTGTTCTTTAAGCCTTGTTCTCCCTACAGCCTCAGAGAGCAGAGAGAAGAGCCCTTCTGAGGGCAACAGCACTGATTATACCAAGGACTATAACTGGGTTTGTGCTTGGGAGATATCAATCAAGGAATCAACTGAGCTCCACCACCGTTGTTCATAGAGAGGCATGGCAGAGGAGCCTTCATAGGATGGATTTATGTGATACCCTGGGAGTACAAAATTGAAATTCAGTTCTTTTTTAATATCTTGGTTAAAAATTAAATAACTCTGTGCAGTAGAAGCCCCTCCTCTACTCCCAAGAGGCTGTAGCTAAATTCTAATGAGTTGAAAAGGTTTAATCCCACTGTAATAGTGGCTTCTTTGGTGACCTTTCATCTTTGTCTTTTGGCTTATCTTTCACTAGCATGTTAGTTTTATACTCTTCCCTTGTTAACTACCCATCATTTAATCAGGACTGATAGCTGACAGGCCTTGTGTAATGGGTTTGGCCATGTGGTATTTGCTTATTGTTCCAGAAATGGTTCCCTTTTCCATGTAAGCTACAAAGACAGCAAGGCAGTAACAGCAATGACAGACAGGCTTGCTTACTTCTGTAAAATAGAAAGGCACTCCCTGGCAGTGAGAAATGGTGTATCCCCAGGAATCTTAGAGATGGGACCTAGTGGAGATGGAGGCATATTGCATTGCCAGCAATAATTGTAAAGCTTCTGTTTCACAAAGTATCTGGCCTTTAGGAGTAATCATGGTATTTCAACACCCTTTCATCCTGCAGAGGGCAATTTGTGAGGGGCCTGACAGATGTCAAAGTATTCAAAATAAGTAAAACTTTTTTTTTTTTTTTAATGTCTCTTTGTCCCTACTCAGGTTTTACTACACCCGAACCGAATATAAACCTGTTTCACATCGCACTATTCTTTTATGAATGTAGTGTGGTGCTGCATCATCTGCAGCCACTAAGTGGCAGGAGAAGCACGAAATTTCCTGTATTAGGCTCTGAATCCAACTTGCCAGTACTGTGCTGCCTGTGGCGTGCGGCGGGGGTCAGAGGACTACTTCTAACAGCTTCCCAAATGGTAACTTGTTCACTGGGGAAATAGATGTAACTGTACGTAACTGCAAGTTAACAGCCACTGATGTATAATTTAGGCAGCATGTATCAAGAACAGTAATACATTCAAAAAGGAAAGTGCTAGTTTCTTCTTGTTGTCTATTCTGAATGAGACCACATTTGGCTAGAGCTCTTCCAGGCAGAAAAACACATATTCTGTGGTTTTCTAGTGAGAGCGTTCTCCTTTCCTAGCATATTATAAGCAGGGATCACCTCGCGCAGGTCTGTCCCCTCAGGTGATGGCGTACAGGAGTTTCAGCCTGCGGCTACTAGATGGAATGTCCCTGGTTGTTCTAGTCACTGTGTCATGGAAGCCTTTGAGGTAGATGGGGATTATTCTATTCAAGCTCCTTAGACAGGGGCCAACATGTCACAGCATGTCTCTAGTTGGATAAGAGGCAAAGGAATGCAGTTCACCCAGGCAGTCTCAGCTCCATCCGTTCCCTGGGCCTGAGCACCATGAATCTGATCTGTCTCATTTCTGTTGCAGTCAAATAAAGAAATATATCTTTCTGCAGTGACCCGTCAAGGACTGTCTGTTTGGACCATTGCATTGTCTTTTTTTTTCTAAGGCAAATATGTGCATTCTTCTATTTAACAGAAGATGAAGGCAGTATCCATAACAGTCCAAAGGAAATCCTAGAGGCACTGGGCACCAATGCACAAGGGCAGGTGCTGACAGGGGATGTGTTTGCATCTTCTGCTGAGTCTCCCAATGGGCGTTCCTCAAACCTCTCCTTATTTCACTTCTACCTTCCCTGAACTGTGCAGAGCCAACTTCTCCCTCTTCAAAACCCATTCCTGGTGCTTTTAGGTGGAGGTTAAACCAGAGAGCTTGCAAGCCTTGCAAGGAAGTGAGGCAACTATGGCCGTCTCGGGTCAGAGAAGGGACATAGCAGATGAGCTCATGACAGCTGCAAGGGGTGACTGAAGTCCTGTGGGTGGGCAGTGAGATGCCATGGATTGTGGCACAGGCTGTTCACAAGCCTCCCTGCTCCAGAATGGGCATAGATTGGCTGTAGCTGTGGCTAGATCTGTGTGTGCAACTGGCTAGCTGGAAGTGGGAGTTCCTGGAGGTTGTCTTTTGTATTTTCCAGTAACAGCTGCCTTGATGAGCAGTGGATGGATAGATTTTTTTCCTCCTACATAGCATCTCGATGACACGTACTTTGGTGCTGACGGGTGTTCACATTGATTGTGTTTCTAACCGGCTTCCTGCTGCACCTTAAAAAACCCCAGTATCCCCAATGTTCAGTCTTTAGGGTAAATTCTCAGTTCCAGAGTCACAGCTGGTGTAGATGAGAAATCTCCAGTCTCAGAGTCTGTCACCAGGGTGTAACCACTGCACTGCAGTTACTCAAACTCCTGGCTTTGAAAGCCTTCACATAAACCCAGCATGTTTCCAGCACTGCCGCAGGGACCCACCACACTCTTCCCTCAAATACTTTTTCACTGAACTCAAACCTGTCATAATCAAGGTGAAATATGATGCCATGAGCATGGGAGAGTAGTTATTTGGAGAATGTGATGGCAGTCTCTGCTTGTAATTACCTGACTGCAGGAATAAGTAGTAATCCTCAGATTAGGAAAGAACATCAACACATTCTCTTTGATCTGTCATGCACTGAGAGGTTCCTAGAGTGTTTTTACCCATGATCATCTGGACCAACTGCAATTACACTGCAAGATGAGAAAAGGGGCCCCATTTCCATTTGTGAGGCTTGGGTCTACAGGATGAATATTCCATACAAACGCTACACTGTCAATCGCAGAAGAGATTTGGAGTTGTTCCCTGCATGATTTGTTGGCTATCTCCCACGCTCTAGCCTGGCTATTTCTGCAAACCCTTCTCTCTTTCCTGTAAGGACTGTCACAGGGAAATATGAAATACCTCTATCTGCTTGTTCTGACACTTCACTCAGAATACAGGAGACAAATAACATCATCTACAAACAAGCAAGTTTCTCAAGAAACATCCAGGAGGTCTGTTGTTTTGTGGTGAAAGCAATGTTTATAGAACTTAGTTGTTAAAATGGATTTTCTTTGTAGGAAATGAGTGTCCTGCTGTGACACCATTATTCTCAGTTCCAGCAGTACACTAATGTTCCTTAGAAACAACCCACAATTTATGTAAGTTCAAGACACTGTATAAGAACTTCAGGAAATGGGCGTCATTGCAGAGGTTTCTCAGGGCAGGGACCAAGTGCTGACAGAGCTTCTGCTACCACACAGAGTCACTGGGATGCTTTCCAGACCAGAAGAGATACATGGGAGCTGAGTCCTCTGAGGACATGGTACAGCCAAGGGAACTAGTTGCTTTTCCTTGCCAGCTAGGATTTCTGGATGTCAGAAGAACGGCTCTGTTCTGTGCGTTGGATCAGCAGTCTGCATTTTCATCCTCCTAATAAGCAATAGAGCTTCTCTGGGAAAACTGAGAAAACCCAAAATACTGAAAAAAAATGAAATACCCTGTTCTCAGTTCATTGTGAGCTGTAGGTCATGCTGTGGCGGAACTATTCCTTTCTTCTCTGTATCAGACACTGATGCAGGCAGTTAGTTGAATCTGTGTGACCTGAGGGCCAGAGAGAATAAACTGCTTGGCTGAACAAAGTCTCTGCTCCTGTGTGTAAAAAAAGAGAGTATTTAGACTCTGCCAAATGGCAGTAAATGTTGCTGAATGTTCCTGTCAGAGGAGAGGAAAATATGTGCAGCAGTGTCAGAGTGTCAGACTCATGCTTATTTCTTATTTAACACTCACTTCAGATAGAGCTTTTTATTAGCGTTCTCCTGTGGCTTATGGAGAGGCACCTGGACTAGGACACGTGGTCCTGCCTCTGGTGAACACCAAAGTACAAATACCATTTCTTGACTCCTTGTAGGGGTCTCCAACAGCTGACAGGATGCTCAGTCGTATGTGCTGCTATTGTGAGCTGATCATAGACATCTTTTTATAAGAAACAAACATTGGTTTTCAGTTCTCTTGGTGATTTGGCCACAGTGCTTATGAAATGGATGTTACAAAATAAAGGCCCTTGAAGGATATTCCCCACTGACAGCTGTAGGAGGTGACCTATGGTGTAGAGGACAGATCACAAGGCAGAAGAATTTAACAAGAATGATTAAGCACTGGAAAAAAATAACTGTGCAAAGAGACAGACGTTTTCTTGCTTGATGTCTTCAACTCATGATCAGAAGCTGTTTTGGAAGAGGTGCTTTATTTAGATATGTGATCAGGCTCTGCTCAAGGAGATTTAGTTGAGATCTTCTTTCTCATGATATGCCAGACACAAAGCTGTATTTTTTAACTAGAAAACATAGGAAATAACATAAACTTTGATTTACAGCAAACCCTGTGCAAGCCACATGTCCTTGGCAGACTGAGCTCTAAGTGCTGTCTTTAGTTTCTTTCTAACAAACAAACAATCAAAAAAACCCATCCAATTCTGTATGATTAATTCTTCTGACTTTAGCCATCACACTGTAGGGTTAGCTGATTTGGGACAGGAAATCCTTCAATGAAGGAGAAAGAATTTATATATGGCCATTAAACACTGCAAAGTAAACATCTCAAATGCCTCAGGCAGTTATGATTACACAGCTTATCTATGCACAGCCGGTTCATGGAGCCTTGTTTCCAAAACCGGCGCAGAAGCTCTTAGCATCTACTCTGTGGTGGATCTGGAGCTCTTGGCACCTGTTGTTCGTGTCACCAAGGACTGAATCTGAAAGCTGAAATAACCTTCCAGTAAGGTCCCACTGGCTGTTGTGGCTCACCTGTAGGTCAGTGCTGCTTTTTCTGTGAATCTGTTCCTAGTGCCAGTGTGTCAGTCATGCACCAACCTCTTCTACACCAGGGCTAACAGGGATCTCAGGCGTGGTGTGTCCTGGGGAGCACTGGGGCGGGTGAGACCTTGCACAGAGCTTGCGTGGTCTCATATCCTGGTTGGGGAAGTCTCTCAGAGTGGGTCAAGGGGTGTGTATCTTTGTTTTCAAATAAAAGAATTGGGGTTCTACTGCAGGGGGGTGGAGCATTTTACTCAAGCCAAGGGGCTTGGGGTTAGATGGCCAGGGAATGAACTCTGTCCACTGTGTGCCCTATAGCCCAGTTGGAGGAGGTGCTCATGCATCATCAGACCAGGTATGATTTGCCACAGAAGGATGTATTGCAAAAGGTCATCAGATGAGTTTACAAACAAAATGCCGGTGGTGTTAAAGAGCAGAGGGCACATGTCACTGGCTGGACACTCATCAAGTGTGTGGCTGGGGGCTGGTTTCCTGCCCCATCAGCCGCTGACAGGGGTGAGCACCCCTGGCGAGGGCGCCAATGCTCATTAAGGCCGGTGCTGACATGGCACACAGCTCCTTTCATCCTGCGACCCCGGAGAGTGCTGTGCTGGGCAAAATGGGAGCTGCCGCCTTTAAACAAAGCATCTGTTTATTCTTGAAACAATTAGTCAGGGCAGTTAGATCTTGAACTCGTTACTGAGCCCAAAACAATTACGATAAAAACAAATTCCAGATGGGCTCAAAAGGAGTTGTTTTTGTCTTTACTAAATTAGAATGGATTCCATGTCTTCAAGTTTGTCTGGCATTTATGGACAGGAAACATGAATTACACACAATAATTTACTACAAACAAAAGAGATGAACACTGCAACAGCTCATTTATCTTTGCTCATGTGCCTTCTTGAGGTTTATGTGCTGTCTAACTCATGGGGAGAGTTAATAGCTTTTTTCTTTGTTTTCTAACTCTTTGCTATTTTGGTTTGCAGAAACTGAGACAGGAAGCAGTTGAGTTTCTGCTGCAGGGTTAAGCTTACCTGCAACCCGAGACAAATGCTTGCATGTTCCTTAAAATGACCCCCTGGAAAACAAACCCAGAGGTGACAGGAGGGTCCAGCAGCAGTCTGTCAGTGTGTATGTGCAAAACCATTCCCTTTCAGGAAATACATATATTTTTAAATCAAGGGCCAAATGAATCCAAATGAAACCAAATTAATGAGTGTGCAACACACACTAGTTCTTTTCTGGAAATATTTTCTTGTGAGTTGGTTTGTGGATTGTAAACATTTGCAGTACAACAGGTTACTATCACTAAGCCTGAGAATGCAGAATGGGTAAATACTGTCTGGAAAAGAGAGTTGCCTCTGGTACCATCGTGTTTTAGTTCTGTGAGTGACTTGAGCAAAGGTTACAGATGGGAGTTCTTCCGATTAGTTCCTTTAGCAGCTCCAAGAGCCCCCAGCCAGATGCCTTTTTCAAAGTCCATCCAAAATGGACTGAAGTCTGGGCATTAAACATATGTTTATGGAAACTTTGAGTTTCTGATCTCTTGGGTTTTGAAACTGATGCTGCACATCATTGACATAAATTCAACTGCTTCCAGAAGGAAAGGGAACCCAGAAGATAGCAGAGAGCAATAGTACATCACTGCTGCTCAGACCTGTGCTTACATCTGCTTTGGGTGCCTGAGCAGGGGGAGGATAAGGCAGGAGGAGATCAGCAAAGAAACTCCTGAGCAGTGTTTCTGTTCTGGCAGTCCCTCATACCTTGAAACAAAGAGTTTGGATTTGTTTTTTGGGGGCTTTTAGTTAGATTCCATGATTTTACTGAAGGCAGCATGTCAGCATCACTACAAAGGTGTATAATGTGAACTCAGATATGCAGCTAGGCTGATGTGAAGTTGTGGAAGGACATAACTCCCAAAACCCATAAAAAGAGAGAAGAATTGTAATAAAGACTAAAGCTGCCCCTGGGCGTGCTGTAGTGCATTAAGTCAGCTTGGCTGAGCTCCGAGGGGAGTGAGATCATGATCATGGGCAGACAGCAGCCTGGGAACTGGGGCTGTCACTGAGGTTTGTTTGGCCTCTTCCAGTGTGAGATGGTGAGCTTCCCAAGGCACTTCATCACTTCTCCCCCTTCCTCCTATGAATCTAAGAAAAGAAGCCCTTAAGTAGAAGCCCAGAGAAGTAGTGTTTTCCAGTTTTGGCTGGCAACCAAGGAAAAAGAAGAAAAATGAGAAATGGATTACTTTTTTTTTTTTTAAGATTTCATGCAATGTCTGATTTGCACATAGTCCTCCACAGGGAGTAAATGGGATTGTTTGGATTCTCATCTCTGTGAAACTAGTGAGCCCGAGCTCCAGGATGATGTCCTGCTTCCAGCAGAGAGGCTCCCAATGTTCATCTCAGCCTTGCTTTAAACAAGGAAGAAGCAGGAATCATAGTGCTAGAATTCAATTTCTGGCTGGCATTGCCCGCCTGCAGCAAGACCAGATAGGAAATCTCTAATCGCCCATCCAAAGGAACAGGATATTTAGTAATTTATTTCATTCATCATTCATTTATTCATGCTCAGTTCTTTGACTCAGTTTCCCCTTCTGACGAGGCTGCGAGCCCTGCAGCATGCTGAAGGGCCAAGCTGCAGTAGCGGGGCATTTGGGCTGAAATAGCCACATGAGTGTGGGCAGCCCTTTGCAGAGGTACTGGCCCTGATGAGGTGTTGTCTTTCCTTGTAAGCTCAGCTCTTCTCACCTACCAGAGCTCTTACATCCATCTCAGCTCTCACCCAAAGCCTGTAACACAAGTTTATGGACACCTCTGCAGTTCGAGGTTCAAGTTCCCCCTCAACTCCATTCTCAGGATCCCTAATGCAGCTCCGACCTGGAGCGGTTTCTCCTTCCCCGAGTAGCCAGGTCAGAGGTGACTCTCGAGAAGCACTGCAGCGCCCGGGGTGCTCAGGAACCTGTCCCCTGGCCTCACGGGTGCCTACCTGTCTCTTGTCTTCTCTCCTCTCTCCCCTGATATGTTGCTGTAACCTCCCGTCCCCTCATCTTCCAGCTGGGCTTTGCTCTTCATCAAAGGGCAGTCAGAGTGGAGGTGGTGGAAAACACAAAGTCTCCCTCCCCCACCAGTGATTTAATTTGCCATTAACCGAGAGTTTCAAGGGAAATCTCAGGGTTCATTAAGGCTCTGATGACAGCTTAACCTTCTGCAGAAACCCAACACCAGGCCCATTCCTCCATCTGAAACCAGGGTGGCTGTAACGTTAGACCTGTCTCCTGAGCACAGCAGACAGCTCTGGAAAACACAGTCAGCACGAGAGGACGCCAGGTTTATGCAGCCCTTTATCAGATCATCCTTTCAAAGGGGGTTTTGTCATGTACCTGACACGGTTCTGTGGGGAGCAGAGGCACTCTGCTCTCTCTCCTCGAGAGCTGAATGCCCGTGCTGTCCCCATTCCCCAGCGCGCACCTGAGCCCCCGGCGGCACCTCTCCCCTTCCAGCCACCTCTCGCTGCTGCTGCCATCGCGCCTCGTTGCTCCGACCAGGAGGAAGCGGAGGTTTTGGCATGAATTACTGAAAACCCAAAGCTTTGTGCAGTAGGGAAGGCAAGACCCCTCCGAGCAGCCAAGCGCCAGGCACACCAGCTGAGGCGCTCACGCGGGGGCCCCTTCTCCCCGCCCAGCTCTCAGCACCCCGTCCGCTACCTCGGGGCACCCGGCGGTTCGAGGCGGCAGGAACAACCCGCAGCCGAGGGGACGCGTCCCGGGGGAGCGGCCCCTGCCCCCGGCCGGCACCTCCCGCCGCCGGACAGG